CCAGGGATTCTTGTAAGGCAGTTCTGCAACTGGGGGAGAGAGTAGCCAGGGCTCCCCAGAGGCAGCAGTTATTGGCTCCGGGAGGGGAACAGGAGCCTGCTGGCAGCCCAGAGAAGAGGGGGCCTCTCCCAGGCAGAGGCCCCGGCACGTGCCAAGGCCTGGAGTGGAGAGAGGCTGGCATGGTCAGGAGACACAAGTGAGTATTTTGAGCTGTAGCATAGGAGCAGATGAGGAAGAGTCCTGAGAAACGAGGATCGGAGAGGTCATGCAGCATACTTCTGGTCTAGTTGGGATTAGAACCCAGGCTCCTGACTGAGTTGAGGTTTGCTTGGATCATGAGGCCCAGGAGGTGGAGTGTGGGGCGGGAAGATCCCTGTGCGGGCAGAAGGAGGCGAGCGGTCACCTGAGGGGAAGAGCATGGGGTGCGACTGGTTCGACTGTGTACCTCCTGACCTCCATCCTGGGGCACTCCCAGCCTTGCCACTCCACAGGAACATTAGCGAAGCTCTGCAATGCCAGGCTTGGTGCCAGTCTACTCTGGCCAGCTGTTCTCTGCATCAGCTGGTACCTGACCCCAGGCCCCAGTCCACTGGGCTCCCGTAGCTAGTGACCCACTGACCTGTGCCAAACTTTAGGGCTGACTCTGATGCCAGGCCTGCTGGGGCCAGACATCCACTTAGGGACTGTGCAGCCCTGCATGGTGAGTTCAGCAGGAAAGAGCTCTGTGCCAGGAGTCAAGCCTGTCATCAGCTTGTGTCACCCATAATCAAGCTACAAATCATCTCTGCAAAATAGGAGGCTGGGCCACCTGGCCTGGAAGGTGCTACCAGCTCGAATCTTCAAGCTTCAGCATGCACCAGAATCACCAGGAGCGTTGGGCCCTTTGCCCAGAGCTTCTGGCTGTGTGGGTCTGGAGTAGGGTTGCATGTCCACTGTCCTAGACAACCAGCCTTTGAGGACCACTGCTCTAGCAACCCTAATTGCACAACAGGGTCACTAGGGAGCTTTGAACTGTGTGGCTATCAGGTCCACCGCCGACGCAATTAAAAGGGCATCTCTGAGCACAGAGCCTGGGCTTCATTACCTTTTAAAAGCTCCCCTAGGTGGCTCTAAGATGCTGCCGGTGTTAGGTGCCACTTTTCTGGAAAATCAGCCTGGGATGTAACAGGGCACTGGGTAAATGCCTTATTTTCCTCTGGAGAAATTGATCTCAGATGCCAAATCAGCCTCTTGTTGGCTACCTGGCTTTGAAGAGCCTCCCTGAGCCTGTTTCCCTTCCGTAAGCAAGGCTGTCCAGAGAACCAAAGGAAACTACCTCGCTGCATCTGCCCTCTCCTTCCTTCGTCTCCAAGGAGAGCTTGTGCATTTCTGCAGTTCTGAGGCTGCTCAGCTGAGCGCAATTCAATAAGCATTTATTAAAACTTACGATGTGCAAGATGCTGCTCTTAATGATGTGGAAATACAAAGATGAATCAGGCTCTGTTGGTCCCCACTTCCAGGAGTTGACATGCTGATGGGAGAGCGATGAGGCACGGGTCCAGAACGTGAGGCAGGCTGTGACACGGGCCACAGAGGAAGTAATCATGGTGAAGGACGCTGTATGAGACACTTGACGGCTTATCGTAATCCTCCCACAGCCCCCAGAGGTAGGTGCTACTGTCATCCCTTCACATGAGAAAAAAAGGGCACTTAAAGAGAGGGTCTGATACTCACAGCACAAGAACCAGGCTTTGGTACCATGGAGCCCAAAGGAGGAAGAGAGCACCCCATTAGCAAGGCTAAGAGAATGCTTTGTGGGGAGAAATGCAGACACAATGCTTTGAAGGATGTGTAGGAGTGTGATGAGTAAGGATGCAGAAAAGGGTAACCCAGATAGGGGGCCAAATGCACCAAGCCGAGGGGCGGGAATCCGGGCTTCTTCAGGAACGCAAAAGAGGTTTGATGTGGGTGCTGATGCATCTGGTGTCGGGGCAAGGTGGGACCCAGAGCCCGGTTGAAGGTCCTGTATACCAGGTTAAGGAGTTTAGATTTGTATTTTAAGCAATGGGGAGCTCTGAATAAACTCATGAACAGCGAGTGGCATCTTTAGAGAGTAAAGAGGTCGCAGGTTATGGAAAGAGGGTGAGACAGGGAGCCCAGTGAGGAAAGAAGCAGCTATGACAAACGGTCCACGTGAGAGACAAGGGGCGGGCGGGTGCTCATGGGAGGTGTGCTCTCATGTGAAGCTTCCTCAGGCATCGATTTCAGTGCATCTGCTCATCGACTGAGCCGTTCTGCACTGGGGCGGCGGGGGGAGTGCGAAGCAGGGAGGACCAGAAGGCAGCGGCAGGGGCAGGTGGGTGACCCAGCTGACCCAGCCCTTCCTACAGCTTCCATGGCGTTGGGCTACAGTCAGTGGGGCGTGACCCACTCAGGGTGGAGGACTCTGCTGCAGCTGCCAGTAATGGGCTCCTGTGCCTGCTCAGAGCTGGCCTCCTGCCACATTCCCACCAGTGCCCTGAGTCTTTCTGACCCCAGCTTTCCAGGTGAAGCATGCCGCCCTGCCCGCTTCCTCCTGCCAAGTTCATGGCCAGCTCAAGGCTCACAGCCTCTGTGCGTCAAGCACAAGCCCTCCAGGACTGAAGTTAGTTCCTAGAAGCAAAAGAGAGGAAAGAGCCCTGAGTTAGCATCTTGCTTCTTGCTGGCTGGGTGACCTTGGGCATGTCCTCTGCCCCTGGAGTTCTGGGTCAGGGCACTAATACAATCAAGCAGTAGGAGTACTACAGCCTCGGCACTATCTGGTCCCTCCACCTGCCTCCTCTCTGTTTAACCTCCCTGGGGAATCTCAAGATAGTAAGATGGACAGGGCAGGCCCCTCTGGACTCAAATCTGAGGCCCTTTTAATGCTCCCCTCATTCTGTGGACTCAGCAGTATCAGACCCATTTTACAGATGATGCAATCAAGGCTCAGAGACTTTCTATGACTTTTGGCCTGGGGTCAAATATTTAAGTGGTTACAGAGGCGGGACTTGAACACCTATCTCTCATCCCGTGGCGCTAAGCCCTCAACTTGGCTGCCTATCACCAGCAGGGGAGGGTAGGTCCCAGGGTGCAGGTAGGACTGGCAGATTTCTCGCAGCTTCAGGGTTCTGGAAGTGAGGGACAGAGTACTGCATGCCCTCACAGTACCGTGCAGTGACACACTCTCTTTTAAGCCTCGCGCCAACACTAACTTGAAGAGTCTTCGGGTGCTACTAACACCTCTCAGAACCTCGCCCTTCTCCCTTCTCATTGAGGGCGCATCTCCAGCCTCAGCAGGCCGCAGTTTCCAGCCAGAGTGCAATAACCTAACTTTGTGCTTATTTTTACTCTTATCTTCTATTTATGGCAAGTGATACTGGTTTTCCATTTAAGGCAGTGATATAACGATTGTCTAAAAAATGCGTTTGGGGGGGAGAGGGAAAGTGGATCTTGGATTTAAAGAAAATACTGAGTGGCATGTGGTTATGGCACCGGAAGAATGCCTGGCGTCTGACCCAGTCCGAGCGCTGGTGAGAACGCAGGCTGCGAGTCGTTGCCCAAGAGCAGGCGATGAGCCCGGGTAGGGCGCTCTCCCCAGCGCTCAAACCTGCAGACCTTCTTCCAAGCGAGCTAGGTCAAGGTGACTCATGGCCCTCCTGGCGGCACGTGCCGGTCCCATGCGCCAATCCGCAGGGTCTCGCGGGCACCGAGACCTCAGAGGGAGGGGGCGGCGCGGGGCAGGCCTGCTGGCCACCCAGGAGTTTCCGCGGAGATGGATCCACTCTGTGGCCACAGCGCGCAGGTCACACAGCCAGACCCAGCGCGAGCAGCGAGACCCTAGCCGGTCACCTGCGGCTGGGGCCGGGGGGGGG